AAATAATGAAAATTTCTAAAGTTTTCTTTCAAGACCATATACTATTTTAGAGCAAATAGAAGTGTTTTTCGAGATAAAACAAACCTATAGCTATCTGCATTATTTTGTTTCAAGACAAATCTATTCTTCAAATGAAAAATTATACTCCCTTAAATCAAAATAAACGGAAATTTATATTATTTTCTTCTAAGATAGTTTTTTTCTTAAACATATGTACAGGGTGTTCCAAAAGTCAACGATAATACTGAAAAGGCTGACGGAAAATGTCATAAGCATCAAGAAAAACATAAAATGGCCTTAGTAAAAAATCGATGGTTTTCGATATTGTCACTTTAATTGATTTCATTAAAATTGTAAACTTGTATCAGATTTTCAAGTGTCATATCTAAAAAAAAATAACTCTTTACATTCTTATGTGACACTCGAAAATCTGATCCATATTTACGATTTTAATAAATTTTGTTAAGGTGGCAATATCGCGAAAACCATCGATTTTTTACTAAGGCCATTTTATGTTTTTCTTGATGCTTATGACTTTTTCCATCAGCCCTTTCAGTATTATCGTTGACTTTGGGGACGCCCTGTATGTATAAAAGTATTACAAATTGAATTTGTTTTCTAGAAGTGATTGTATTGTTTACATAGGAATATAGGTGTTTTGATGTGAAGAAAAATGTAAAGAAATTCAGTCGTACGAAAATACAAAAATATGTATTTTTCTTTTTTCGGATTCAACAGTAACTGCAACATACTTAAAAGTACCACAAACGAGAACATCTTTAAGAAACAGTCTTATATTCTAAAATTATAATAACATATTATATCATATTCTAAAAGTATAATAACAACCACAACAACGTTAACGGTGCTACGAATGCAAAGAACATGGCAATATGTTCTAAAAATAACATAACGCAGTAACAAAATGCGAGTACACCTAAATCTTAATTAAAAAAACAGTATTATATAAAATGAGATTAAGAGAAGTTGGATATGTAGGGTAAATGTGACTTTGATGTTACATTATTTAATCCAATTTCCTACTTTTTTATGAGCAAAAGCCTACGCTTACCAGGATACGTACCTACGTACGTATGGGGTACCTATATGTATAGGTATGTATGTATACTCAATCTGTCAAAAGGTCAAGTATGTTTTCCATATGAGCTAGGTATTTCTATACACATTCAAATCAAAAATCGACATCAAAACAAAACACAATTTTCGTTTCCGATGCGATGCCGACCAAAGCCACCTTTCCGACACACTCACTCCACATCACATAAATAACTAAATGAAATGCGTGTCTCCGTGTTAACAGGTCCAAGACAAATATTACGAAAATGTATCGATTCAAGACAATGGGGGTTTAATTTTTTTACTTCAAGACAAATGCGCCAGGTTGTTTTGGACGAACGTGTGACATATTTATTATTTTCATCAGAGATAATTTATACCGGGTTGTTTTGAGTAAAAATCCAATTTTCAAGATTAGATTTTTCTTAAAGGGAGACAGAGCTTCGTAGCTTCCATAGAAACAAATTTTTGTTTTATGCTAAATAAAATAAATTAAGAACTCTCGATGACTCGTATGAAGCCAATTCGTTTTGTTAAAAAATGAATTGTTTCGAAACAAAACAATTAAAGAAGAAAATTAAAGTCTCATTACAAGGTGAAACACTGCGTTAAACTAAAAATAAATGTTTCACTTCAAGACAATTTGTTTTAAGGTAAAACAAACTGTTCAAGGAAAGAAAGAGTATCTTTGTAGACAAAAATTTTTACCGTGGGGATTTTACCGCACGGGTTTGGGAGCAATCGGATGTTTTCGGAGATTTTACCTCGCGGCTTGAATTTTGACGTTTGTCAATTCTGACGGTCATGTCAGTGAATGTATTCGTGTTGTTTTGAAAAAATGTACGCACTAACGGTCGCAAAAAGTCACTCGTTTATAAAACACTCGCTTCGTTCGTGCCAAATAAACTTGTGACTCAAATGCCGTTTACCGCACATGTTTTGTTTTTTGTATTTATACGAGTTTTTCTGCAATATTTTTGTAATCAATCAGATTTCAGTAATGTCTGAATCTACATTCATATTTATTATTATTTATTATTATTAACTTGTTTTGAAATTAATTTTGTACGTACCAGTTAATGGACTTGTCCCGTAATGAACCTCCCTGTTATACTTATCAATTTATAAAACAAAATATCATTTAATAAACGTATTTGATATAAACCTAGTGTTTTGTAAACTATTAATAGACGTTTATCATCTAGTAAAAATTTTTGTATATATACGAGGTATGTTCAAAAAGTAAGGTTACTTTTGTAGTTGGGTAGGCTACGTACAGTCGATCTTCGATAAATTTTTTTTGTTATGTTGGTACACATGTTCCTAACATATATTCACAGTTTCAGCCAGTTTGCACATTTACTTTTTCTTTGGGAGACAGAAGCGTTAGACGTGTTTTGTGTGCTTGGCGATTTTCTACTGTAAAAAAAAAAATAGAACAAAGAATAAAGAATAAAAGTTTGTGTAAAAAATGGAATACAGCGCTGCAAAAAATTGAAATGTTGACAACGATATATGGTGTATTTACTTTTAACCAAAAAAAATGTTTATAAGTGGTACAAGCTCTTCTAAGATATCCGATAAGACGCCAACGAACCTCGATCTGGACGCCCAGCGCGTCAATAACTGATGAAAGCGTTGAAGAAATGAAACAAATGGTGTTGAAAAATTGTCGAATGCAATTTTTTCGGGAATTTTGGGCATGAAACGTGTAGCAGCAAAATTTGTTCCGAAACTGCTGAATTTTGGAGAAAAGGACCGTGGAAGAAGCATCGCTCAAGCACTGTTAACGACGTCAATGATGATCCTTATATGCTCAAAAACGCCAAAACTGGTGACGAATCATGGGTATCTGGTTATGAAGTTTTTCTATTATCGTGGCGTAGAACATCAAGACCAACAAAAATAAAACCTCACCAATAAAGAAATCAAAAGAAATAAATATACGAGCTGCAAACAGATGCAGCGAGATTCAACGTGCATAATAAAATTAAAGAAGTAACAAGCACAAACACCAGGAGACCTCATGGACTAGTTGGCAAGAACGGCAATATGAAAACCGACTCATACTAACTGATTGGTTACAATCAACCTTTGTGACACTTGCCAAAAAAGGTAACTCACACAATTAGCTTAATAAGTCACGTAATAAAAATTTTCCTTCGAATCAAAATCTACATCAAAATTAAAGAACAAATTAGCGAAACACAATTTGTGTTCTGTAATAACCTTGGAACCAGAGAAGTGCTGTTTTGTATTCAAGTTCTAGTTCAGAGATGCAGAGATGCGGGCATGACAAGCTTATGGAAATCCTCCAGCAAGTAGGTATTGACGAGAGGAACACGCGAATAATAATTATGCAGGGCAAGATAGAAGGAAGAAGAAGGTCAGGTCGCAGAAGGGCTTCGAAATTTACGGGAATGGTTCCATACGTCAGGTACAGCTGCCGTGAATAAGGTTTTGATAGTCCATATGATAGCCAACGTGCGATGACGAACACGGCACATGAAGAAGAAGAAGTAGTACATCGAGAGTTCTTACTACAAGGTCGTACGATCAATAAAAAGTATTACCTTGAAGTTATTTCCCGTTTGCGAGACGCAATACGAAGAAAACGTCCGGAATTGTGGGAAAACAAGTCATCGATTTGCATCACGATAATGCACCTGCTCACTCATCGTTGCTTGTGTCTAACTTTTTTGCCAAAAACAAAACCACAATCATGCGACTTTTTCCTGCTTCCAAAACTCAAGAAAGGAAGGTGGTTTGAAACGATTAAGGAGATAAAGCAAAAATGACTGGGGAAATGTTTCGAGGAGTGGGAAACGCTTTAGCAGCAGTGTATTATATTTGGGGGAATCACTTTGAAGGGGACAACATTAATTTTGATAAATAAGTAAATACTTTTTGATAAAACTTAAAAGTCACCTTACTTGTTAAACACACCTCGTATATACGTTTATGAAAGAAATATAACAAACTTGTATATATAGGTTGAAGTCGCGGATATTTTGCAGTTTATAATACGTTTGACGTATACGTCAACGTGACGGATGGTAGTAGATGTCGAACTTCCAGTATCTTTATTTTTTGTTTACACAACGTTCAGTGGAGTCTCCACTTGATAACGGCTAGCGATACATCTGCCCGAAGGGAAGGGGTTCTCTACCACCTTGGAGCAAATATTTTCGTTAATTAAGTTGGGTTGTAAAATAATCGTAATTTTTTTATGTAAATAAAACATATATATGTCATTTGCGATTGTTTTACTATAAAACAAAAATAAATCGAGGCCTGTGAATAAATCGCCTTCTAAGGTGCCCAAGGTGCCAAATAAAATTAGTAATACTAGTACTAGATATAGGTTAGTATGTGAAACTCAGAGGCATTACCATATTCAAGTCACTATATTTTCGAATAGCTATGTGAGCATACGTTTTGTTAATTGGGTTGATATTTCCCTCAGTTGTATTAATATCTAGATGAGTATCTACAGCTCTCACAGTCTTATTACTCTTCCCATGGAAATTGTTAGGGCGGCCGAGGTTAGTCTCAAAAATGTTAATCCGTCACTCCAATAAAATGAAAGATCGAGTCTTTGGTGCACGAACACCTGCAGTTTAGAACAAGAAAAAACATGTATTGAAAGATTAGATGTCGTAACGATCTTTGTATACACAAACACAGAGTTTAGAAGTTTACAGACATGCCTATCCACAAGAGTCTCCCTAACCTAACCAATGAGTCACTTTGAGTTTTTAAAGGCCCTAAAGTCTAGACGATCGCGCTCTTCTCTTTCGAACAAAACCTACCAGGGAGCTTGGTAACGAAGCAAACGCAGGGCAGTATTTTGTAATTTTCCGGACTCTTGACTCTATTCCCCAATTATCGCCTTTTCGAGGGTGTTAATGGCATTTTTTTAGGTCACCCTCACGGTGCCGCCTACCCGACCATCGGTCTCGGTCGCCACACGATATTCACGACCCACTTGCGCGAGCTGGACAACCTGAAACCCCGACAGCGGGGCCTGAGTTCATCTCACAGCAGCGACGGATCTCAGAGTTCCTACAAACAGGAACCTCAGGGTAAGTGACTGAAACATTTGAAACTTTTCGGTTACGTATTCGAAAACACCCGCAGTCATTAGCGTTTTTGGAAACTATGTTCCATGTTCCATTCTCATTCTATCGACTAGCTCCAAAAAACTTTTCTTGTGGTTTGTGTATGAAACGAAAATATTACAGTGCAGAACGTTAAAGAGAATGGATCAGCTTTTAAGGAAGCTTTTAGAGTTAGAATACTTTTAGAGGAAATTTTAGAACTGGAGCTTTCGGACGGGCATTTAGATAAACTTTTATAGCTAGAGCTTTTGGAACAGGAGTTTTTAAAATAAAATCTCCGAAACTAATTTAGTTGAAAACCACCCTGTATAATGGAACGTTTTTCGCGCAATCGATTGTCGAATAATGACTGCGCGTGTTATCGAAGTCCGATAGTTTCGGTTTCATAGTCGATAAAATTTCGAAAATCTCGGCGTGCGGGGCACGTTCCGCAAAATCGGACGGGAAATCGCGGAAAAACCGTCGCCGTCCGGGCGAGAAAATGCGAGAGAAACAAAACCGAATCGCTGTACACGCGATCAGTCGACCGGCAAATTTAGCTAGCGTTACACCGGTGTGTAAGGGATAGTAGGCCGCGGCGATCGTATTTCGGTTGCAGTCTTTTACACGCCACCGATTCGTTAAATAAGATGAGATTCTATAGATTCCAGTTTCGAGCTGATTATCGATATATGTCGTATCGATTTTGCTATTGAATGACTCCGCGAATCGTTTACATTGTGTGCATGCGACGTAATACTGCTATTGCCTATATAGTTTTGATAGCATTTGTATACGTTGGTAACGCGTGCTGCGCCCCCTGCCGGCTCGGTTCCAAAATGCAGTCAGACTATTTTTTTTTCTCGCCCCTATCAATCCCGAAAGTATCGACAAATATCTGATTTTAATTTGCAACTTTAATAACCTGTATCTTTTGTAATATCGACTTTTAGACTAACATAAATAGAATTATTTTGATGCCCATTCTGTACTGTAGAGGGATCTGTAGAAGAGGGTTATAAAAAAAGTTTGAATAAAAAAGTTATTTCCAGTAAAATGATCTTTAATTGTGTTGTATTATTTTCATTTTCACTCATTTACATACAGGGTGGTAAAATGAAGTTTCATTTTTTTAAACGGCACACCCCATATTTTATTAAATTTTAGCGAATATGTTCGGGATTCAGGTTATATTGGAAAGGTTTTTATTACGCTGCATATTAACATATTTTAGAAAATAATACTTTTTCCTGGACAGTATTCAAACTTGAAATATTTTTTATCAAATAGGCGGTGTTGCTATGTCTCGCAAAATGCTACTTTTCTCTTTTTTAAATCAAACGCCTCGTATTTTTTGAAATGTCATTAAATATTATAAAAGAATATTTAATAGAAAATAAATAAATGAATCAATTTAATCATTTCAGTTTCAATTCAAAATCAAATTTTAATTTAATCATGAATCGTTAATTACAACAATAACATTGCATAATCGAAAAAAAATATGCATTACTTTGAGACGAGTAAACAAGGTATAAGATCGGTTAATGTATGGTGCGGTATTTAGAGAGATAGTATTTTCGGACTAATATTTTAGGAAGAAAATTTGATAGCAGTGCGATTTTTAGATTTATTAAGAAATAATATTGAGTCTCTTATTGGCAATATTATTCCTGAAATTTTAAATGGAAATTTTAGGCAATGGATTGGGCAAAATGGCACCATATTCTGGCCAGGGAGAAAGCCCGGATTTAACACTACTAAAAGGAATAATATACCAAAAATATACCTTTCGCGATTTAATTAAACAACTAAATACTACCGATTATATATTAAATACCATAAATCATTTGGAGGTATTGCATGATTCAAAATGGTGGACATGTTGAAAATTTAATATAAAATTATTAATTTATTTTTGAAAAATTTTGTCAAATGTTGTTACTGTTTTAAAAATAAAATAATCCATAATTTTTGCAGTATTTTTTGAATAGATGATTATCGATACGACAATTTTATAAAAAAAATAATAGAGACTTTTTCAGAATTAAGGTAAATTGCGGTAATATTGCCTCGGAATTGATGAGAATCTTTAATAAATTCAAACCGGTGCATCGCAGACCAGTGTTCATGTATATCGTTCGATTCACCTTTAAATGAAGTATTTAGAAATGTAATAAAACGTAGGGTATTCCATTCAATAAATATAACTTTATTTGATCCCCTGTATGTAATTTGTGACAATTGAAATAATACAAAATATTAAAGACCATTTTACTTCAAACAACTTTTGTATTCAAACCTTTTTTATAACACTATAGATTTCTGGAAAATATATAGACGGCTCTTTAACTGGCTATCCTATACATATTCTTAAGACGTATATAAAAGTATCATATTTTACATTGATGGTCTATCTTTTGAAGGGGCCAATGTAAATACATAACTCTCAATCTCTGACCTATTGCTCGGGATTTGTTCTCTATACACTACACCTTCCGGACATCCAAGTTTTCTATGTTCATTGGTTTGCATTGAAAAACGCCATAGGCGCATTTATGCGCTACTTGTAAAATTATGGCTTGGCGAATAGCCATGGTAGCCGGGCCCAGCGTTACGTCAAACATGGAAAAGAAGAATATTTGCACTGCGAATAGCCGCGTAGCGGCACAAACCCGCAAAAAGATGAGTGCCTTCGATCTTAACTGGAATTGGAACGACGTGATAGATAAGTGAGGCAAATTTTGCTTTACTTAATGACGGCTAGGCCCGCTGGAGTTTTTGGAGATATGATAAGAAGGAAAGTATATTGCCTTTATCAAAACCAAACCAACCAAAACCAAAAACAGATGGAAACAATATATTTATTAGCCGTGTCACCCTTCATAGAGTTATTTGTAAAATGCGGCTATATAAAGAAAAAACAAGGGGTAATGGAATTGGAGATTTATTTGCTGAAGAGATGGGGCATATTGTTTTACGTCTTGCTTCATATCATTTTATATTCAACCCCATAGAATATTTATAGCACCAAAGAAAATAAAATGTGAGAGCATAAAATGCTACTCCTAGTGTGTCCGATTGTAATAAAATTAATTAAAAATATAATTAAAATTGATGCAAATGCAGTAACAAATGAATATTGATGATAGTAAAACAGAATTAGATTTTGAATAAAAACTACCTATTTACCTATTTATTGGTAATTTGCTTATATTTGTTTCATCGTATTTTAAATTAGCGATTTTATTATATCTACATAGGGGCGGGTGGGCCGAGACAGCCTACTTAAGCTTTTTATTTTTTGTGGGTTTTAACCATGAGTTGATATATTTTTGACTAACTTTAACTAAATTTACCCAAATTTTGGCGACCCTTCTGGCCGTCGTGGCCCACTCTCCCATATTTACAATGTTATATATAATAATTATAAGTATTTATTAAAAAGTATTTAATAAAAAAAATACTGATTAGTAACTATTTTTCTATCGATTAAAAAAATTATTATTAGTATTTATAAGATTTTCGAAAGCTCTGGCTTTAATTATAATTCGGTTATAATAATAAGGATAAGCTTTTTTTAGAATTTTTAAGCAGTTCATTTTACCTCTGGAATTACGCAAAAGGCTAAAATCTTCTCTCCGTGTTTAATCACCGTGATGTCAGCAATGTTTGACAGGTAATTCGCCACAACGTATTGAAAAGATTCAAAAATGCTGCCTAAGGTTTATTTACGGCATCCGTCGCGGAAGACCTATCTGCTACAAGCTGAAGGAAGCGGGTTGGACGAATATGAAGACGCGGCGCTTGATCTATCGCTGTTGTCTTTATTAATTAATTAATTAATTATTAAGACAAAATATCCCGAATACATCTCCGAAAAAATAACTTTTAGAACAGACGTGAATAACTTAAATCTAAGATTTAAAGGGGTCATAATTCCTCGTCACCAATCTGGTATATTTGAAAGATCCTTCAGTTACTACTTGGCTAAATTATATAATGACCTGCCTCATTCCATGCAGAATGCGAAAATAAATTCTTTTCCAAATAAACTAAAAACGTGGTTATGTTCTAGAATTTAAAGTGAACAAAAAATGAAGGAAAAAAAAACACCGAGAAGTTACAGAACGCCGGAAGAATCAAATCACTGTGCACTGCTAAAATTCTTTAAAAATTTGTGGTACTTACAGTACTTTAGCCTCGACATTAGCTAATAGTTTTTTTATTTACAGAGGTAGGTTTAGGTTTTTCTGTTATATAACTAAGTGGGTACTTAACGAAATTGTAAATATTAATTGAAACCATGGTGTGATGTTATGTGTAAGGATAAGTGTAGAAATCAGCAAGCAGATACATCTGGGCGCTGCACTCTTGCCTTTTCTTGTAATTTTTATTTATTTTTTCATTTAATTATTATTAATTATTATTTAATTATTTAAATATTTATTATTATTATTGTTATTATCATTATTATTATTAAAGCCTGTCCCGGATGCTCTACCCGTATTACAATACCCACTGGTCAAATGTTTTGGTTGTTTCCATAATTGTAGTCAATACATGGAGACCTACCATATTTTCTATGCGTTAAAATAATCGAGGAAAGTTTCTTTTTTTAAAGTTTCTAGAAATGTCCACGTCGACGGCCGCCTGGGACAACAAAAAAGTGTTGCTACATTTCAGCGGCCCAGAAACACCTATAGTTGGGGCAATAAAAATGGCGTTCGCGCGATTAAGACGGTGTGACGAGCGACCCAGTGAGTGAATCGATAAAAAAATCGATTGCCACAGAAACTCCGCGTTAACGCAGTCGACACAAACGAATAGAAAATTTGCATGATTTTTTTGCCGCCGGGTTTCTCGCCACTTAAATAGTTAAACAATAATTTCTACGACTATAACGATCCTGACACTTTCTATACTTTGATTGGTGTTTTGCGACGACGTTTTTTGCGTGCCGTTTCAAATTTTTGTCTCTGTGG